GCAAGCCACAAAAAAAAAAAAAAAAAATAATGGTGATACCTGCAGCTCCTCTTGAGCATTGGCGAGTTGTTGGCGCGCTGCCTGGAGCTGGGCCACGTCAGCGGCGCGGACGGTATCGTGTTCCGCGTTGGCTTGGCGCAGCTGGGAAATTTGTGTCGACAATTCGGTTCGTTCTTGTGTGAGCTGCTTGACGGTCAATTGGGTCTCTTGGAGCTGTCGAGTCTGAGAATCAAGGGTTTCTCTGAACGGGAGAAAATCAGGAGGAAGGTGGGTGAGGGGGCAGGTCAAAGTCACGACCTCGTCTTCTCGAGGGAGAGATGAGCTGGCCTACGTACTCAAGAGTGGCAATGTGCGCACGCATGTTTTCACTGGCCTGCGTGAGGTCTGACCACGCCTCGCGCGCTGCACGCAGTGCGGCCATCTCCTCGTGTGCCCTGTGCGGAAGGGGTAAATTGAGGACAAAGGCCAAGTACAGTACGCGTGAGCAGCAGCAAAGTGAGCAGGAAGCACGCATCGAGGTCAACGGCTTACACATCCAGATTGGTGCGATGGTCTTCAAGCTGTTGCTCTGCCAAGATGCCTGGGTCGTTCATGGTCAGGGTCAGGTTGATTGGTCGTAGGTTCACAGAGCAACGGGAGCAGGCAAACATACGGGCGTGCTGCTCTGCCGCCAGCTGCTCTTGAAGCTGAGCAATGGTGGCATCACGGTTTTGAAGCAGAACAAAGGCCTGCTCACAGCGGTGGTCAGCTACCAGCAGATCATTGCGCAGGTCGTCCAGCGAGCGCACCACCGCGGGCGGCTGTGTCATGGTTTCCGTGGCGGTCTGAACGATGGCCGCGGTCATGCAGCGTCACGGGTTGACATGGGCGCACGCTACTCGTTTTGCCGCGGCCTACTGCAAACAGGATCTCTGGTTCCCCCTCTGCATCCCATCGGCTGCCGCTTGCAGACGGCGCGTCAACTCTGCCCGCATGCCACAACAACACGGCGAGTGACTGTTCCAGAAGATGAAGGCTTTATGACGGAAAGTGTTGTTCCATTCAGTAATCAAACGAAAGTTTATGAAGAGAAAAAGAGGGAAGATGCAGATTTTGGCTCATGACCGTTACACCTTACGCCAATTTTTCAGTGTGTGTGTGTGTGTGTGTGTGTGTGTGTGTGTGTGTGTGTGTGTGTGTGTGTGTGTGTGTGTGTGTGCGCGCGCGCGCGCGTTTTCTCGGCTCTCTTGGATGGAACGCCAGCCCGCTTTCGCGGGAGAGTGCGAGGGATTTGATCGATTGGGCCTTACTGGTTTTGGTACTTCGCTGGNGGTGTGCTTTGCGTGGGGCGC